GTTATGGAGGTCGCGTGACCATACTTCACCACCAATTGTCGGTTAGGCACTCACCTCGGCCCGGTGGAGAGATATTACTCGTCACTAACGCTAGCCGTGGTCGGGCATCGATTTCAATTCGCTGGCAGTGCGCAAAACCCATTGGGCCACCACTGCCCCCCCTCCCTCCCCCCCGAGTCGGCACGCTGCGTATTGAACATAAAACACCTGCTTTGGAACACGAGAGATACAGTTACACTGGAGTGGTTATAAACACCAACCGGGAATATAGGGTTAGACAACGCAGCACATGCAAGCACGCGCCTTCGTATGAACGCCTAGTACATGCGCGTAAATAAGGGGCCGTCCATAAATGACGTCACGCGATTTTGGACGATTTTTGACCCCCCCCCCTCGTCACACGACGTCACAAGGCTCTGCCCCCCTCCCCCCAAAACCATATTTCCATTTTGAAAATAAAACATGCTTCAAATCGCTTTCAAATATTGTCATTGTAGTGCGCATTTAATGCGGCGCTGCACTCTGATGTTGTAAGAGAAAACATTTATTAAAAAGTATATTTAATCAAGTAGAACGTGTTGTCTACATTCATTTAAAGTTGCGCATTTTCACGTAACGTCACATTTCCCCAACCACCCCCCCCCGCCCCTCGTCACACATCGTCACAAACGTCTGACACCCCCCCCCGCCAGGTGCGTGACGTCATTTATGGACGGCCCCTAAGTCTTGTCGACGTGCGCGCGCGCGTAACGGTTACGGCCGCTTTGTCAATCCGCTGCCGCTCCACGCTGTGACGCCTCTGCGTGCTGCTTGTCCATACTTCACCATGCCGCCGAGCCTCGGCTTCCCGGGAACGGTTCAGATACCACGCGACACCGATGATCGACGTGGCAAAGGTTTTGTGAAGACAGCGCGTGCTCACCAGCACGCCCACACGCGCGCATCGCCGGAATTTGCATGCGAATTTGCATGAGGTGTAAAATAATCGATAGGTTCACAAGCGGCAGTTCGGCACATGCATCGGAAGTGTCGATCCTCGTCGAGGAAATCGATATTAATCTTAGGTTTTTTTTCGGTAAAGTCACGTAGGTAAAAATTTTTAATTTAAATTAATAAAAGTAAAATAAAAAATATAATAAAAATCACGACGTTTCGGATGCAACACAAGCTTCCGAAACGTCGTGATTTTTATTTTATTTTTATTTTACTTTTATTAATTTTAATTTTTTACCGACGTGACATTACCGAAAAAAACCCAAGAATATGAATCATTGCAGTCACGAAAGCTTCAAATCTAGAATCGATATTAATCGTTACACGCCGACTGAGAATATGACATTGCGTCATGCAGTGGCTTGTGTTATTGCATTACAGACATCATTGGCTGACGTTTCGGGCTACGACCCTTCATACACGTGGCAACGGAAATAAAAGGATTACAGTACGTGGATCTAGGAACACGTGAGCACGGCAATCTTATCATATAGCCCCATACCACGTGGGGAGTGTCAGTAAAGTAGGATCGCCTGCGGTGGTAAGGTGTTTGTTTATGTAAACGAAATACCGTCTGTGTGCGAGTGTGTGGGGTGAGTGTGTGGGGAGCGGTGGTGCAGCGGTTAGCGCGCTGCGCTACGAACCCGGCGACCCGAGTTCGATACCCTGCTCACGGCCACCAACACCGAGGTCGACTCAGCCTTAAATGAGAACCTGGTGCAATGTGTAAACATCGCCACTAGTGTGGTGCTGGCCACCCACCCCCTCGTGTGCTGTGCCGGTCTTCATAGGGTCTCACATACAGCGCTTGCCACAACAGTCTGTTAAGGTTTTAAGGGGGGGGGGGGGGTGATATTTGTATTTGTGTGTAAATCTAAAGACGTCGGGAACGCAAGTTCGATTGAGAACGACGCAACGCAGTTTAAGCCGGCACAACTTCGCCTTGCGACACAAAGCCACATTTAACAGAGACGTCAATTCAAAAAGTCACAACTCTGCATCGCAGGGCCGTGAGAGATCACCACGGCTGGGGCGAGGGCTTCGTCCAGCAGTGGATAGATCATGGCTGATGATGATGGTGGTGGTGGTGAGGAACTCGCGTAAAATTCACATAGCATCACTAAATCTGAGTAAACTCCGTTAAAACTGGCACTGCCCGATTGATTCAACATAAATCAATGCCATGAGCAATGCTCAATTAAGCAACGCATCTGACATTGCCAATCACATTAACGCAACCCAATAAAATCAAACAGCTCAAATAATTAAACACAACTCATTTTTACGATGGCACGGTTGGCTACTCACGGAGCGAAATACGTTCACGTACACACAAACAAACATACACACCGATACGAATACGATATCCAATTGCAGAGAGAAAACTCAGCCCATCATAGAAACCAGCAGGACTCAACTTGCCAGCAAAGTCAATACAACCCAAGTCCAAACATGACTCAACTCGGCAAAATTACACCGCGATAGCTTCAACAATGAACCCCACACACCTCGTGTTGCCACTTAACCCACGACAACGCCTCTCACCAATTAAACTAAGAGAGGACCATGCTGCCGATTACGCCAATTCAACGGATGCCATCAACGGAACATTCATTGTCTGAAAACATCTGAATACATAGGGGACCGCAGATATTGGCCAATTGTTGAATAGCGACGCAACACGGCCTTGCTGCTGCCTTTTGGCTCGTCCGTGGTTCCTTTCGCGATTGTGAGATGCAATTTGCGTGAACGACGACGACGCTATATGCATATACATACAACTAAACATCGCCATTAACTCAGACAACTCCATAATTCCACCACCACTGATCTTGTAAGCACAAGCCAATACAGCTCAGCTTTCACGAGACAACACCAACCCCGAGTCTCCAGTTCGTCCGAGTCTCACCCGGTGGACAGGTACAATCCGGATGCAATCCTGATACAATTCAGGTACAATCCGGGTGAAATCCGTGTGCAATAAAGGTACGATCCGGGTGGTGTGCTGAGAGGATGAATGGAATGACCTCTACGTTGCCAGAGAAAGCCTCCCCTCTCCCTGACTTTCTACATTCCTTGTCAGTAGCGTCCTGGATTGGGTTATTGGGCCAGTGCAACTGCAATGAGCGATTTGCATCGTCTGGGAAGATACAAGGGGGACAAACACCGACGCAATGCTCCGTGGAGTGAGCTAGCTGCCATTTAACAAGCTAAAAATGCTGAAGCGCAAAATCACATCGTACTAAGCAGTCCACACGTGAGTGATGAAAAGCCATCGAAGTACGTGGTGGGTAATTTTCCTACTTAGAAACTAAATCAAGATCACCTATCATAAATATATATAGCCAGGATATGGTGGCACACCTGGAACACAGAGATATGGAGACGTGGGTTGGTGATCACGTAGTGATGTACAGCGCTCTCGTGCCCCCCACTCGCCTCTGCTACCCCCCGCCTCCGCTCCACTACAACCCCACAAGACAACTGAGATCCCTCGTCCGAGGTGCTGCATTTATATCGGATCGTCCGTCCGTCGATCGATTCAATGCTCGTATGATATTCAGTATCGGTACGCTTTGTTTTAATTACTTAGTGTTTGGTTATGGAATTAAACATTGAATACGGCACATCACGGGGTACACGGGAGTCTGTTTCACCGCGTGCGATAAATACATCCTGTGCGAGGAACGTGTTCGTCAATCGTCCCGTCGGCCTTTCTGGTTTCCACTTTCCGAGTCTCATCAGCAGCCTCGTGCCAGCGTCGACCGCTGGTGGCTTCAGTCCATGCGCCCCAGGGGAGTTGTTCATCTGCCGTTCATTTGTTTTTTTGCTCCCTCAGCCAAGGAGTGCATCACCTTGTGACTGAGAGTCGCGTCACAGCACTACTCCCGAATCCCTTCATCAAGGGGCATATTCGTCCACACTTCGTACATGCAGTTACACTCCCTGATTAGAGTCTTCTTATTTTTTTCTATCAAACCGTATTTTTTTATTATTATTGTACGTCTGTACGTACGTTGACATTGTTTCGTACACTACGAAGCCAACCGTGCTAATCGGAGGTGCGGGGGGAGGGGTGGGACAACAAACTAAACACGAATTCTTCTGAGCGGGGAATTTACCCGATTAAGCGAGAAACCAAATGCAACATGGGCGAGCTTCTGTGTGACCTTGTCTGAGACCACCAAATCATTTGCACGAGAGAAACCCGATTTAATCGCGGGCGGCTGAACCCCGGTTACCCAAATGCCGTGGAGAATTTCAGCGGTGCCGGCTCAGGGTCCTATGCCTCAGCCACGAGGAGGAAACTCTCTCTGAGCCCACACAGCCACCTGTATATGTAAGTGACTCCCGCAATGCAAACCAACGTGGATTTGGTCGAAACTCATTGCCTTTCGGGCCGTTGTCCTGATTGCAATGCAATTCTCACGAGGCTCCCACGGTGTAAAGTGTCGTCTCCAGCCCTTATTGTTACCCACTCTACATCTCTGGTCGCCACGGTGGCTAGATGTTAACTTACCTCGCCTGGTATAGAGGAGGTTCATGGGTTCGATCCCGACCCTGACGCCTGCTGTATATTTGGAGTTTGCGTGTTTTCCCCGTGGTCGCATGGATTTTTCTCCGGGTCCTCCAGTTTTCACCTTTACGTTTAGAATCAACGTGTCCACGTGACAAGCCACTTTGTTGAGCTATCAATTGAGACCAGGTCGCATCTGAAAACGAGCTGTATAGCGCAGTGGGCGTTACCTGCTAAAATAAATAGTAAAAAATACGAATATTCTATGAAGAAGGACCATTGCCTGAAACGTCACCTGTTTGGTCCGTGTTGGTGAAGGGTGGTCGGCAAACACCCGAGAACCGATTCCGATATCACTCACCGCTGACTCTAGCCGCGGCGGGGAAATCAAACACTCGCCTGGGCCGTCGTGTTCATCGCGCGGTGCGCTAACCGCGGCGCCACCGCTCCCCGAGACAGAGGGGGGGGGGGCGGGGGGGCAGCAACTCACCAGGCGGCCGGCCTCGTTGTTGTGGAGATCGATGAGCGTCTTGATGTCGCTGCCGTCCTTCTTGCGCCGCGCGTCCATGAACTGCCTCGACTTGTCGTAGCCAAACTCCACGTCGTCCCCACAGCCCCCCCACTCCCACGCCGTGGGGTGCCCCTCGGAGTCACGCTCGCCCTCCGAGCCGTGATGGTTGGTGGGGGGCGCCCCGTGGTGGTTGGGTTGTGGGGGGCCGTGCTGGGCCGGTGGGGGGCCTGGAGGCGCCCGGCTCCTCGTGTTGGCGCAGCCGCACTGCGGCAGCTCGCCCATGCTGCACGCCTGCGTGACCGCGTGCGTGACCCCCGCGGACGTGATGGCGTACACGAAGGCTGTCTCGCGAATGTCTGCTGACACACGCGAGGAAGTTGTGGGGGGCGGGTGGTGGATGATGTGCGAGCGTGTGCAAGGGTGTGTGTGTGTGAGGGTGTGTGTGAGGGTGCGTGTGTGAGTGAGGGTGTATGTGTGCAAGGGGGTTTGTATGGGAGGATGTGTGTGAGGGTTTGTATGTGAGTGAGGGTGTGTGTGCGTGCAAGGGGGTTTGGGTGTGAGGGTGCGTGTGTGCGTGCAAGGGGGTTTGGGTGTGCGGTGTGTGATGGTGCGTGTGTGAGTGAGGGTGTGTGTGTGCGTGCAAGGGAGTTTGTGTGTGAGGGTGCGTATGTGAGTGAGGGTGTGTGTATGTGTGTGCGTGCAAGGGGGTTCGTGTGTGAGTGTGAGGGTGTGTGTGAGGGTGCGTGTGTGAGTGAGGGTGTGTGAGAGTGTGTGAAGGCGAGTGAGGGTGTGTGTGGGTGTGTGAGTGAGTGTGCGAGTGTGTGTGTGAGGGTGTGTGTGGCTGTGCATGCACGTGTGGTTGTGTGTGTGTGTGCACGTGACTGTGAGCAAGTGTGAGTTTGGATATGTGCGTGAGAGTGCGTGGGGGGTGTGGAGTGGTAACGTGAGTGTGTTCACGTGCGTGCGTGTGCGCGAGCACGTGCGCGTGTTTATGAAGGAGACATGGGGAGGAGACATGGGGAGGAAACGGACAGCCTCACTTTTAATCGTTTAATATAATACCGATGCAAACTCCACGTTGTTCTTGAATCACCGTCGCCTTCTGTGTAAAATTTAATAACTCGCACACATGCGTACGCGTATGCGTTCAAGAAACTATTACTTTGCACATTTCACAGAAGTGGGTCAATCCACCGCTGGATCAAGAATCTTTTTCGCGCCGTGACGGCCACGGGAGCTATTTGACCATACTTCACCACGCTGGTCAGTGCGGAACGTAGGATTGGCCCGGACATCACTCGCCATTGATGTTAGCCGTGGCTGGGAAATCGAACTCAGGTGGTCAGGTTAACGGGACGGTGCGCTAACCATCGCACCACCGCTGCCACGATTTCGAATGTTTAGCTTCAGTTATTCTTAACAGGTCTGTAACTCGCCTCACGACATCACGTTCCATGGACGCGAACTCATGTATATTTATATAAAACAATAGGTTTTACCCTTTCTGGCACCTGTTTTATTGCCAGAAAGGGTAAAACGTAATGTTATATTTCATGTATATATATACGAGTTGCGTGTTATAAGATTCGTTCCATTGTTCTAACACTCAAATGCACACAGATGCTGTCTTAGTTTACGACCATAACTCGGAAGCGAAGCTCAGGTTTTTAACCTGGTAAACACTTGGGTAGGCAGACTGCAAACGACTTGGGCTGAGCATATGCCAGGAGTTATCACACACCACAATGGTGAGATGTTAACTACCTCGCCTGACTATGCATGTATTCGTGGGTTCGATCCCGACCCTGACGCCTATCTATTTGGAGTTTCTATTTTCTCACCGTGGTCGCGTGGATGTTTCTTCGGGTCCTCTGGGTTTTTGCCCTCCACATTCAGAATCAACATCAAGCGTTTCGAGTATTTGGCCGCTATACATTTCTACGTGATAAGCCACTTCGTTCAGTTATCATGTGTGGCGAGATCGCTTCTAAAAAAAGTGTTACATAACTTAGTGGGCTTACCTGGAAAAATAAAAAAAATAGTTTCGTTTTACGAACAATGCATTCTTAAATGCATCTTTGTGGGACCACCCTCGTAAGTGTGGTGAATATTCCCCGTGCTATCCGATGCCCTCCCACATGAAACCCACCTCCCATTCATGGAATTAGCCAAACATCCAAATTCGTGAACCTGTTGAACTTCAGCCGTTCACCACAGACACGTTTTTTTTCCTTCACTTAAAACGCACTCTGATTGAACATTCCTGCAGCTATATTCTGAGGCATGGCTTAAAATAAAATATATTGAAAGGCGCGTCTTTTATGAACTGCACGTACAGCTTTGAAACATTAAAAAGTTAACTGTAATATTTCGGAGACAGATGTTCGAGGCATGGAGCAAGTTCACTGCGCTCGTTTCTGGGGCGGATACTTTAATAGAGCGACTGGAAATTAAGCTTCTGGCATTTGGGTACAAAATTGCGCATGTGGAGGAAGTGGCGTGCAAGTTTGGGATTGTAACGTGGCAGAAAAGTGTCATGAAGAAGGAGGTTGTGATGGGTGGGACACCTGTGCAGTCGTCGATAAAGGGGGAAGACCTAACTCCAGTTGCTGCTGATGTTGCTGCTGCTGATGATGATGGTGATAGACCGTGAGAGTGATCATTGACGGACATGCCAACTGTGCTGACACAAGTGAGAAAACCTAAAGCCACCAGCTGGTGATGATGAGACTGTGATTCGTGCCTCTTTTAGAACTTGCCAACTGCAACGAGAGGCAGACGATTAGTATGCGACTCCAAGGGCAGCCTTAAGTAGATGAATCATTGTGCAATGCCATGCGATCTGCCCAGCAGGAAAGTGCGGTCACGACTTGTAGTGGCATCAACAGCATTGGCCCTGATGACGTCTTTACCCTCACTTGAAGCAGACGTGGAGCGTGTGTGTGTGTGGTAGTGTGTGTGTGTGAGCGGTAGTGTTGTGGATAGCGCGTTGCGCTATGAACCTGGCGACCCGGGTTCGATTCCCGCTCACGGCCACCACCAGTGACGATTATCTGAAACGGTCCCGGGCCTCCGCTAGGCCCACTCAGCCTCAAATGAGTACCTGGTGCCATGTGTAAACACCTTCACTAGGGAGACAAAGGCGGCCGGGCGTGGTGTTGGCCACCCACCCCCTCGTGTGCCGTGCCGGCCTTCATAGGTGCTCGCTAACAGCACTTGCCTCAAAAGTCTGTTAAGGCTATACGGGGGGATCTTTGTATTTGTGTGTGCATAGGCGAGCGGTGGCGCAATGGTTAGCGTGCTGCGCTATGAACCCGGCGACCTCAGTTCGATTCCCGCTCACGGCCACCACCAACACCAATAACGATTATCTTAACCAGTAATGGGGCCTCCCATAGGTCCACTCGGCCTCAAATGAGTGCCTGGCGCGGTGTGTAAAAACATCGTCACTGGGGAGACAAATGTGGCCGGGCGTGGTGCTGGCCACCCCCCCCCCCCCCCCCACGTGTGCCGCGCCGGCTTTCATGGGTGCTACTCGCTAACAGCACATGCCCCCAACAGTCTTGTTGCAAGGCTATACGCGTGACCTTTGTCTTTGTGTGCGCGTGTTTGAGCGCGTCCTCGGGATCACGTATCACCTGGCGTTGTTTGAAAGTGAGGCCATTACGAACGCCGACTCTGTTGGAGCTGCTCGGACTGTTTACGGAGTTATCCACGATTTATCAATTTCCACGGCGCTGCTGGCTTCTCGGCGCTGGCAAGTGCTAAATGCCACTGTGTCGACGTCAACGAAACGTATTTTGGACCGCTTTCATACGGCGTATTTAAAGCTGTAAACAACGTGCCTATCGCAATGTTGTATCGATGTCATTTCTAAACTGAACCAAAGTTTTAATTTTTTATTTTAAACCAGGTAAGGCCCGCTGAGCAATATCGCTATTTTTTGTTCACATGCGACCTGGACACAAATGACAGCTCAACGAAGTGGCTCATCGTCGCGTGCTTGCAAAAATGTGGAGGGAAAAACCCCGAAGCACCCGGAGAAGCACCCACGCGACCACGGGGAGAGAGACACGCAGACTCCGATTCTACCGGCGTCAGGGTCGGGATATAACCCCCATTCGCGATCCTGATGCATAGCAGGCGAAGCAGTTAACATCTCGCCAAACTCGGCCCCCCCCCCCCCCCCAAAAATACTGGGTAACCGGTCGCAAAATGCTAAGCGTTTTCATGCACCCCCTCCCCTCCCTTAACTACCAACCCCCCAACTGACTAGCGCGCTGGGGTATGGTCCAAATTGAAAACTCATTTCTTTAGAACTGTTGGTGTGTGTGTGTGTTGGTTTGTCGTCCTTCACACTCACGTCCGATTAGCGCGGTTCGCTGTGTACGTTGCGAAAGAAGTTCAACATACAAACGTACAGACGCCACGGGCAACGTGGCGTGCGCATGATTTCATCCAGCAGTGGAGTGCCCAAGGGTGGCTGTGCAGTGATGTAAACTACGACACGTGGAGCACGTGTCTCGACACGAACGACACGAATGTTACGGTCAGGACGTCCGATCCCAGGAAGAACTCTGCTCTAAAAATGGGCCATTGCCCGAAACGTTAGCCTAATTACATGTCGATTTAAAGCTTTCGTGACTGCAGGGATTCATCTTCTTGGTTCTTTCGGTAAAGTCACGTAGAAGGGAAATAATAAAATAATACAAAATAAAACATAATACAATAATTTATTCCGACAGACCTGTTTTTCACCTGAGGACGGCTGCTTGCGTTGTGGCCAAAACGTCGTGAGAATTTTTTTATTATGTTTTATTTATTATTATTTCCCTTCTACGTGACTTTACCGAAAACACCAAGAAGATAATTACATGTCGTTGCTGTGACCTCGAAATTTGTCGACCACAGCGAGAAACAGTCGTTACATATTTGTACGATATCTCTGCGTCGTGAAAGCAGTGGGTCCAGCAGTGGATTGATGCACGGCTGAGGATGATGATAATGGTGTGGCCTGCATTTACATTTTGTATTTATTTACATGAGCTAAGTATGCTCGCCAAAGCGGCAAAGATTACGTCATACGTAAATGTATATATACTTACACATACCTTGTATACTCTATAGACTTAAGCTGTGTATACGCCCAAGCTTGCACCGTATGAGGCGTTGTGTGCGCTATCTCTCCGTGCGCCATGCTGCCACGATAAAGACAAAGATCCCCCGTACAATCTCAACAAACTGTTGGGGCAAGTGCTGCTAGCGAGCACCTAAAAAGGCCGGCACGGTACACGAGGGGTGGGTGGCCAGCACCAAGCCCGGCCGCCTTCGTAATCCGAGTGGCGATGTTTACACACCGCACCAGGTACTGATTTGAGGCTGAATCGACCTAGGGGAGGCCCAGCTTCAGATAGTCGTCACCGGTGTTGGCCGTGAGCGGGTGGTAGCGGAGCGCGATAATTGCTACCCTACCGCACTCCAGACTGCTGACACACACAAAGACAAATATCCCCCATGTAGCCTTGCACAGACTTGTTGTGGCAGGGGTTGTTAGTGAGCACCTATTAAGGTCGTCACGGCGCACCAGTGGATCGTGTGGGTTGAAGGGAGTAGAGTGAGATGAGAGGGGAGAGGCAGGAGAGTGTGTGGAGGGGAGTAGAGTGAGATGAGAGGTAGAAAAGTGTGTGGAGGGGAGTGAGACGAGAGGGGTGAGGTAGGAGAGTGCGTGGAGGGAATTAGAGTGATATGAGAGGGGAGAGGTAGGAGAGTCCGTGGAAGGAAGTAGAGTGAGATGAGAGGGAGAGGCAGGCAGAGTGCGTGGAGGGGAGTAGAGTGAGATGAGAGGGAGAGGCAGGAGAGTGCGTGGAGGGGAGTAGAGTGAGATGAGAGGAGAGAGGCAGGAGAGTGCGTGGAGGGGAGTAGAGTGAGATGAGAGGGGAGAGGCAGGAGAGTGAGATGAGAGGGGAGTAGAGTGAGATGCGAGGGGAGAGATAGGAGAGTGCGTGGAGAGGAGTAGAGTGAGATGAGAGGGGAGAGGCAGGAGAATGCGTGGAGGGGAGTAGAGTGAGATGAGAGGCGAGAGGTAGAAGAGTGCGTGGAGGGGCGTAGAGTGAGATGAGAGGGGAGAGGTAGGAGAGTGCGTGGAGGGGAGTAGAGTGAGATGAGAGGGGAGAGGTAGGAGAGTGCGTGTGTGGAGGGGAGTAGAGTGAAATGAGAGGGGAGAGGTAGGAGAGTGCGTGGAGGGGAGTAGAGTGAGATGAGAGGGGAGAGGCAGGAGAGTACGTGGAGGGGAGTAGAGTGAGATGAGAGGGGAGAGGCAGGAGAGTGCGTTGAGGGGAGTAGAGTGAGATGAGAGGGGAGAGGCGGGAGAGTGCGTGAAGGGGAGTTGAGTGAGATGAGAGGGGAGAGGCAGGAGAGTGCGTGGAGGGGAGTAGAGTGAGATGAGAGGCTCGGAGAGTGCCGCATCATCACACGCACGCACGTGCACACATACCCTGCTGCAGGATCTTGCCGAAGTACTTATTGGTGACGGTGCAGTTCCACCGGCGGAATCGGAACTGGTGCTGGCACTCCTTGAGCGCCAGCTTGGCCCCCTTGGCCACCTCGGCGACAACGTTGGGCGCCGTGACGCACAGCTCCGCCTGCTTGCCCGCGAGTCGCTTCGTCTTGCGGCAGATGCTGTTGGGGTCCATGACGAGGGGACTGCCCACGGCCCTGTTGGTGCGTAAGGCGGGGTAGCGGGGAGCGGTGGTGCAGCGGTTAGCGCGCTGCGCTACGAACCCCGGCGACACGGGTTCGATTCCCGTTCACGGCCAACACCCAGTGACGATTATAGGAACCGGTCCTGGGCCTCCCCTAGGTCGTCGACTCAGCGTGAAATGAGTACCTGGCGCGGTTTGTAAACATCGCCACTGGGGAGACAAAGGCGGCCGGGCGTGGTGATGGCCACCCCACCCCCTCGTGTGCCGCGCCATCCTGCATAGGTGCTCGCTAACAGCACTTGCCCCAACAGTCTGTAAAGGCTATATGGGGGATCTTTGTAGTGGTGGTCAAGATCGGCCTCTGTGGAGGACGTTGCTCCTGGGCGGTTGGAAGCAGTCGCCCTCCAGCAACCACGACGGAGGGGAGAGGAGCGACGCTCACAACGCAACGGACGGTCAAAGTGCTGCGAGTTGGCACAGTAAAGGGGGGGGGGGGACAGATGGTGCATCTGCCAGTGGTCTCATGTCAGTCAAGCCATGGCACCTGGGTCTGTCCCGTGCCCTTCTGTCAGTGAGCCTTCGATTTAGCTTTCATCTGCGTTAGCCTGGTCGCTTATGAAAAAAAAGTGCGCCTGGCCTGGCACAAGCGCCGTGGTGACATCACCGTCACTTAGTTGCGAATGCCGGGTATTGGTAGTGTCGTGGTTAACGCGCTACGATACGAACCCGGCGACCCGAGTTCGTATTCCCGCTCACGGACAACAGCGGTGATGATTATCTGAAATCGGTTCTGGGCTTCTCACTAAGTCTACTCAGCCTCGAATGAGTGCCTGGTGCGGTGTGTACACATCGCCATTTGGTAGACAAAGGGGACCGGGTGTGGTTCTGGCCACCCAGAACCACAACCCGCTAGCAGCACTTGCCCCCCAAAACTCTGTTGAGGCTATATGTATTGGGGATCTTTGACTTTGTCTTGTGGTGAGCGATCGTGTGCTGGTTAGTGCACTGCCCTACGAACCCGGCGACACGAGTTCGATTCTCGCTCACGACTAAACACAGTGGCGAATATGTTAACCAGTGCTCGATCTCCCCTAGGTCAACTCAGCCTCAAATGAATGGACACCTGGTGCGCTGCGTCAACAGCAGCACTGGTTGGCCACCCCACCTACCCACCCCCTTGCCGCTCTGAACAGCACTTGCCACAACAGTCTGTTAAAGGCTATCCGGTGGATCTTTGTCTTTCGTGCGTGTGAGCGAGAGTGCGCAACCTTTTGCAAATCGGCATGAGTGTGTGTGTGAGATGCCGCGCGCGTGTTTATGATTCGCTGGGTGTCAGAGAGAGAGAGAGACACGTGGGGAGGGACAGCGGGTGGCCACGTGTGGTGTGGAACGTGTGTCACCTTACGATACGCACACGCGTGCGTCTGTAACCACACACACATCTATGCGCAGCGCTCACACGCAATGCATCATAATTGTACCGTGTCCGTCCTTAATTATGTTTATCAAAATGATATGTGTGTGTGTATGTGCGTATGTGTGCATTTCGAATACATGTGGGGAGCGGTAGTGTGGCGTTTAGCGAGGCCGCGTTCCATTCCCGCTCACGGCCACCACCAACACCATTGACGATTATCTGAACCGGTTCTGGGCCCTCCCCTAGGTCGACTCGGTCTCAAATGAGTACCCGGTGCGGTGTGTAAAACATCGCCACTGGGGAGACAAAGGCGGTCGGGCGTAGTTACTGTCCACCCAACTTCTCGTGTGCGGTGCCGCCTTTCATCGGTGCTGCTCGCTCACAGCACTTGCCTTGCCCCCAACAGTCTCTCCATTCTGTACGGGGGATATTTTTGTCTTCGTCTCGTGTACATGAGTGCGTGTTTTCTCGCGCGTTCACGAGGATAGTTGCGTTCGTGCGATTGCGTCCGTGGAAGGGGGAATCGAGTCCTTTTGAAGGACTTCACGCGTGAAATTACGGACAATTTCCACCGGATACGTATATGCCAGGTGAAAGTTGAAAACTTCATTGAAAGTGTGGAAAGGAAACACGCGTAGAGAAAATAAATAACCTAGGGTTGTCATCGCGAGAAGATGGACATCTCGACGTTTCGGCTAAACGGCCTTTCTCAGGATGACTAGCGTTCTTCAGGAAGTATCCTGAGAAAATTCCAGTTGTCTGGAGATTCGTTTTTCGCTGTTAGTGACAGCAAAGTTATTCTGTCTTAAAAAGTTTGATATTCCCTTGTATTTTTCGACAGCTAAATCACGGCTCGTGTTCTATCAGCTTTCGTGCCACCACACTCCGCTGGAGGAGAATGATTTGGTTCATCCGCGACTGGGATCGGGCACTCGTTCGCGTTCATCCCGGGACAGATTCAGGTTCAGCGGCCTCGCTCATCAAAGGGCACACAGTCAATCCCCGCGCAGTGATTTTTTTGGGAGCTTAAATTCGATTAATTGGGGTTGTTGTAAATGTTTCAGCAGTAATCGCTTTATTTTTTGTTTGCACATTTTGTTCTGTTTCTAGCCCTTCAAACACCGTTAGAACGCACGCGAGTCGCTCTCACGCTTATGGTTGTAATATCAGGTTGACGTGGAACGCTTCGCAAGTACGTTCTAACGCACATCTAACGCTAATCTGTGTAAGAATCGATTTACCGCGCAGCTGTATGCGCTACGAAGGGAAATGACAACGTCGCGTTTAGAGTGACGAAGCCAACTTGACAGAAGACAGAAGCGCATCCGTCACCTCGAATCGTGACGTGACGAACAAAATACAAAGATCCCTCGTATAGACTCGGGGGCAAGTGCTGTTGACGAGCACTTAACAAAGGCCAACACGTGCACACGAAGGGGGTGGATGGCCAGAAACACGCCCGGCCGCCTTTGTCTCCCCAGTGCTGATGGTTACACACCGCACCAGGTACTAATTAAAGGCTGAGTTGATCTAGGGAAGACCGGTGCAGATATTTGTCACCGATTCTGGCCGTGAGCATGAATCGAACTCGGATCGCCGGTTTCGTAGCCCAGTGCACTGACCAATGCGTCACCACCGCACATGCTGAACACTCGCAAACACGTTTTCGTGCATTTGCAAATAGGTCAAACATGTGAACGCCAGCCAAATCCTTCTTTAATAAAAACTAAAAAAAATCCAACGCTTTCGCAATGCACTGCTGGATGAAAGGCTATGTGACGCGCTGTGCGGGTTTTCATAGGGAGTTGAATTGACCATACATTGCCCACGCTGGCCGATTGTCAAAAGTCATCATCACCATCATCATCCACCACCACCATCATCATCCACCATCACTCGGCCAGCACTTTCACGTGAATCAGACCGATTACACGGCCACGTTTTTCGTCTGCTCGCCACGTGCCACCCCCACCCACCCCTTCCCCTCCCCCTGATATTAGAAACGTCTCTGCGCGGACGAAGGAGGCTTCGCGGGTCGCGTAAATGGTTACGGATGACTTTGAGGTCAAATTGCACTCAAACATCGCGTGCAGCAGCATCAGTCAAACGCGAGGAGCACCAATCGCCCTGCAGCTTCTCTCATCCCCCCCTACCCCCGTCTACACCCCCCCCCCCGCCCACTATCCCGACCATCTCTGAATCCGACTACTCAGAACCACCACCACCCTCCCCACCCTAACCACACGCCACCCCCACATCCCAGCATATCCCTTTCCTTCTGATCCCCGTAACCCCAGGCTCCCACCCAAATCACCTCTGGACTCGACTCTTCAGAAGAGGCAGCGGCTCTTGGACAAATTCCCGAGGGAGTCTAAGAAAGCTGTCTCCCCCCCATTCGTATGGCAACTCTAAACTACTTCAACTACGACGATTTATGTTTTACCAGGTAAGACCCCCACTAAGCTATGTAGCTCTTTTTTTCAGAAGCGACCAGGCTAACACAAATGAAAGCCCAATGCAGTGGCTTATCATCACGTGGTAAAGAATAGCGGCCAAATAACTCTAAACGCGTGGATGTTGATTCTAAATGTGGATGGAAAAACCGGAGGACCCGGAGAAAAATCCACACGACCACGGGGAGAGAGAGACACGCAAACTCCAAATACACAGCAGGCGTCAGAGTCGAGATCGAACCCACAGTCTCTTGTGCACCAGGCGAGGTAGTTAACATCTCACTACCGCAGCGCCTGCCTATCCAGGTTGTACTCTCGTTACCCTGGGGGAAAAACCTCACTCAGTAGTCCCGTGACCCTTTTCCAGGAGGCTCCTGCTAAGTTTTCACGGAGGGAACGACGGTGACTATTTGTGGGTATTTTGCAAATCAGTCGTTTTTCAGGGTACATTTTGGCAAAACGTGGCACATTTGGACCACGACTCCGCAACACGATGGCATAACTCGTGCGAACGACGCCCTCGGATTGTTAGCGTCCGGTGTGAAGTAGATGGCGCGTATTTTAGTTGTTGTTCATACACCCGCAGTCATGACCAGGGCGGCCGCTGGCATTGAACCGTGAACTTCTGCAACAAGGGGAGAACTCGCTCGCACGAGGCCACGGTTACAGCCCCTTACATAGCGGAGCGAATCGTCAACAGATGGCAGCATTATCATTTGTAGTACGGTATATGTATGCGTATATGTATGAGTGCGCGAGAGAGAGAATGTGTGTCAGTGTGCTTGTCCCTGTGTGTATGCCACGGTGAATTTGGAAAAACATGCGTCTGTATTCTTGTCTGTGTTTGCGTGTGTATGTCTGTCTGTGTGTGTATGTGTGGGGAGCGGTGGCGTAGTGGTTAGCGCGCTGCGCTACGAACCTTGCCACCCGAGTTCGATTCCCGCTCATGGCCAACACCAGTGACGATTATCTGAACCGGTCCTGGGTCTCCCCTAGGTCGACTCAGCCTCAATTGAGTACCTGGTGCGTTGTGTAAACATCGCCACTGGGGAGACAAAGGCGGTCGGGCGTGGTTTTGGCCACCCACCCCCTCGTGTGCCTTGCTGGACTTCATAGATGCTCGCTAACAACACTTGCCCTAAC